GAAGAAAAAAGAAGCTGAATTGAGAGACATGTCATTGTTTTATGAATAGTGTTGCCTGGAAACAGCTGCAAAAGAAGCAGACATTGTGGATGTACTGATTACAACAGAAAAGATCCTGCAAATGCATGTGAAGGCCTTGTTTCAGATGAAGTTCTGAAATGCCCTCTGTCATTTCAAAGATAAATCAATGGTTGTAGAACTCGTGGTAAATATTTTCAGAGTAATGATACAATAGAAACATTTTTTGAAGCTGGGATAAAACAAGGCATAAATGATTGGGTTTACGGTTGAGTTGAAATAACCTAACCAAAAAAATGTTTCAAAGACAATAGGAGGTGATGTGTAGCCTGTGAAGGAATAAATCAACGTATCTGAAAAAAGAGGCATCCAGCACAAGATGAAAGCACCGAGCACAATACTCAGAGTCTTTGCAGCCTTGTGCTCAGATTGTTTGTTTGGCCCAGCTTTTCCTCCATCATTAGAACAATGCTTTGTATCTTCAATCTTTCTTTCATGCTGTCTTGCTACAATGAATATTTTAGTGTAAAGGCAAAGCATTACAATGCATGAAAAGAAAAAACATATAACACTGTCCAGGATACCCCAAAGCTGGTTAAAGATGAGGAAGCAGCTGCCGAGGCAGTATATCGATAACATCCTCCAGACCAGCAGTATTGGCCTTAGAGTAGAGCAGTCCAAAAGAGTAAACAGCAGCCAACGCCCAGCAGCTGAAAACCATTATCCAGGCCACTGACATCGTTATTTTCATGTGATAAAGCAGAGGGTTGCAGATTGCTTGTTGTCTGTCTACAGCAATGCATATTAGATGGAAGATAGAGAGAGAAGTGAAAAAAACATCAACAGTCGAGTGTAACTGACAGAAAACTTCCCCAAAGAACCAGCAGCCATGGACGGTTCTGATGGCACTGAAAGGCATCACAATAACACCAACAAGCAGATCGACCACAGCAAGAGATGCAATAAGCACATTAGTAGGATTATGCAACTGTTTGAAATGTCCAACTGACACGATGACAATAGAGTTTCCAAAAATGGTTATCACTATGGCAAACGTGAACAACATATAGAGAGCGAATTTGATCCCCACACTAAACTGTGTCCGTAAACATGAGATGTTCGACTCGGGGAAACAGAACTGCTCCTGAGAGAGGCCCGCAGACATCATACACACAAAAACCACAAGGACAAACCCAACAGAGAGAGGGCAGTGAGAGGTGTGTGCAGACACGTCTTTTGTAACCAAAGACACAATTGGGAAGCCTCCTACAAGTCACCTGATACTCTTTGCCAACAAATCAAAAATATGCTAGAGGTATCCATTGAAAATTGCTGTTAGGTCAAGATTACATCATTCTTTTTGCAGGTTGTAATCTCTTGATTTCCAGTAAATCCGACAACTCAAAATAATCAAATATTCAAGCAAACAACCACTGGGTAAGTTGAACTTTGTGTCAACTCTGCAAGAGAGGCCTGCTGTTGTTCTGGTGTATTCTGATCAAAGGTTATTCAACCCTAATTCACCCCACCGCCTCTCGATCTGTCATATTCCTGCACAATGTAGATTCTGTTGTGTGGTTCCCATGTGGGTGGACACACAAAAAAGGTTGACATCGGAGTTGGGACAGACCAGTTTGGCACCTGGAGTTTCTCTGCTACATAGCCTTGTTATTATATTATGTGCAGAATGTGGTTTGGCATAGTCCTACTGAAATATGTAAGGTCATCCCTGAAAATGAAGAATTCAGAATGGTAACACACTGAAAAAAAAGCTTACACAAACTTGTGGTAACTTTACTTTAATTTAAGAACAATTTGTGACTCAGAAATATTTATCGAATAAGCACTTATCTCAGATCAATGAAAAAAAAGTTAAGTTTCTGTTTTCTTTGTGTATCTTTGTATATTCTTAAGAGCAAATGAACTACAGGAGAAAAAACATCCTTTAAGGGAGAGGTATTGTGTATTTTTTTTTTCAGACTCAATGATTCTTTTTTGACATTGCTTTAATAGCTTTATGTGAGTCTCTGATCAAAATAACCTTGAATTTCTCACAGTGGTATATAACATTGTCATTATCTTCTAGGTTTCTTATTTTATATTTTATTAATGCTTTTGTCACTAAGATGGTCTGTGTTGTATTCATGTTTTAATTTTTACTTGGTTTTATTCATTCATCGTTTTTAGTACTCCCAGTGTTTCTTCTTGGGGAGCCCTCGGCACTGGGAGCAGTGGTCAGCAGTGGTTGCAGGTGCCGGTCACAGGGTTCCTGGTGGAGGTTGGTGTCTGCCACATCTCTCCCCTGGCCCTGTGTTGGTGTCCTGTGGCTGTGGGCGCCTCTCTTTTCCTGGTGCTGACGGCTCCTCTGATGGCGCTTTTTCAACTGGCTCATTTGTACTCAGCCTTGTGTCCATTACCTTAGTGTGTGTGTGTGTGTGTGTGTGTGTGTGTGTGTGTGTGTGTGTGTGTGTGTGTGTGTGTGTGTGTGTGTGTGTGTGTGTGTGTGTGTGTGTGGCTTTGGATGACATTGTATGTGACTGTTGATTGTAGATCGTATTGTTGGGTGGGGTAATATATATTATAATATATATAAATATATTTAAATGTGTGTATATATATATATATATATATATATATATATATATATATATAGATAGATAGATAGATAGATAGATAGATAGATAGATAGATAGATAGATAGATAGATAGATAGAAAACTTGCAGTTTTTGTTGTAAATGTGGAAAAGCATGGTACCACCCCATTAAACTGCACAAAGGTGTACCAAATTAAAATGAGCCCAAACTAATTAAGGCTTGGCTCCATTAGAGATCCTCCTAAAGTCTAGTAAGACACATCAACAGTAGCCATATTTACGTTTGCAAAATTACTCCAATCCATTTAAAAATTTGAGGGATCGGATAATCCGCATCCACTGTTCTATGAGCACAAAATCAAATAATCTGATCAGAACATGTGTGTACATGCACCAAGCTTTATTCAATATACAAGTGTTTGGACATGTGTAGAGGTGTCTTATTTCATTAAAACATCAGCAGAAGAAGAGTTGTATTTATGCTTGTGCTGTTAACAAACCAACAAACGTGGTAGTGGCTTACTTCATCCAATTCAAGATTTTTCCCTCCACTCAGAATTGACCTGACTGAGCCAAATTCTGAGAGCAGTTGTATTGATCCTAACATAGACAATTGGGCCCAGCAGCACATAGTGATCCTGTGGTACATGAGGAGACTCATGATTTCTTTCCGACCGAGCTAAATTGGGTCAGAATTTACGCTGCAGCTATTGAGTCTCTCTTTCAGCCATGTGCTTTTTTTTTTTACTAAAAGTGTGGGTGAGCTGTCTATCTGATTCAATGCAGGTAAAGCAGTGCAGGTAAATTTTGACTGAAAAACAACAAAGGACACAGTCTTTTTTCTGGACAAGGCCTTTTTATTCACACCCACTAAAATGACATAAAAAAAGAGAGAATTATGTTCAATACTGCCAGCAGCATTTTTTTCCCCATTTCTCAACCAATATTATCAGAATTTACCAATGACTTGATTGTCACAATACATACAGACTCCAATCCTGACTACAAGATCCTTTTTTTAAAAAAAGTGGGCTAATCTTACATTCCAGGTTTAGCCATTTAATTGTTTGTATCCTTAATGAAAGTGTAGACCTCACGTCTGACAACAGATACTTGGTTCTGCAGAAGCAGAGCAGATACTTAAAATATTCAGACTTTCAACCTGGTGTTAATCAGAGGATTATGATTCTCAAATTAATAGAAATCCACAAAATGACAAATTCAACTCTCTTTTCTACAAATCTCAGTGGTGACTCGTAACAATGTCTTTAGTCAATAAAAAGGCCATGCAGGATTGTAGCCCTAAGGCCCCCTGGTGGAGCCACTTGAGCAAAATCAAATGTACAATACACAATTTCATATTTCACTTATAAGGTGACCATACACTTTAAATGGAAACAAATGATTATTCTCATTCTTTGATGAGCAATGTGTCTGAAATGTCAGATTGAAAAATTTGACCTGAGGTTAATAACTGAAATGCCTTTCTGGTTTCTCAAAGCACACGTTTTCACAAACATAGGCCTACCCCACACTTACCCTCTGCAGTCAGCTGAGCAGCATTGCAACTTGAGCTGTGTGTGCCACATATGAGGTCAGTAGTACATGTGCAAAATGAGCTCTCTGTTTCTCGAGCCAGTGGAGTCAGAGGTTAAGTAAAAAACCTTCAGGGAGTTCAGTTTGAGAGCCTTCCTTCCCCGTACATGTAATGGTGCTGCCATTGGGAAAAAACATAAATATTCAGTGTCCAACATGGGAGTTTAGACAAGTGAAAGTTACTAACAACAAACTTCAAAATTTCAGATTGTAGTTTATTGTTTCATAAATGAAAGTTAAAGCCCACACTGATTGCTTCTTCGAAGTAATAACAATTTAAAACTGATAGTTGGTTTTTGAACCAACAGAACTAACTGTATTTTTCTTGCAGGCTTTATCTTCCAAAGGGTGTGTTGTTTTGAGTTTATTTTCTATCTTATTTAATTTTATTTGTGTGTGTGTGTGTGTGTGTGTGTGTGTGTGTGTGTGTGTGTGTGTGTGTGTGTGTGTGTGCGCGTCAGACTCTAAACTTGCAAGACTCAAAGTAAAAACAAAAGATTTAACCTTTAGGTTAAAAAACTGTTTGAAGTCCAAGTTAACACTCATAGATAAACTTGATGTATTAAAAAGTGTTTAAAAGGTAAAATTTTACAGTTACTAAAACAGTACACTGTCACTTTAAGCCTAAAAATGTTTATATGTTTGTTTGAAATGTACATCCCTGACATGAGGTGTGACAAACTAACTTGATGGTATTTTAGTTTCCTGCTTCTCATTTGTCAATGTAAAGAGACATAACGTTTCTTTTATTGTAATTGGCTGGGGGGCGGGACTAACATGAGAGACGAGAAGATCAGTTGGACACACCAAGCTAGTAGCTGCTGCTTTCTCTCGCTGCTCGTCGCGCTAGCTGCGCGCCCCACTAGCTCCGGGACTGGCTGTGGGTGTTATGCTATAGCTCGCTGCTGCCCTCGATGGCTGAGTTATCTCAATGTTGCTGAGACGGAGGCGAGGACGCCGCTGGCGTCGTTTCTCCTGGGTGCTGGTTTTCTTCCCGCTGCCGAGACGGGAGGGTGAAGTGAACATACCCGGACGAGGCGAGGGCCGAAACTGTTTGGACCGCGGATACGAGGGGTTGGTTCGTCTTCATAATAAAGTCAGTATGGAGCCCTAATAGGCCTGCAACGGGAGTTATTTTTTAATTTAATTTATCTGCCGGCTTTTTATGTGTTTGTTTTGTGGGCCCACATTTAAGAGTTAGAGATATCAGTTTTTAAATTACCCTTAAGTTAAAAATCACAAGTTGTCCAAAAAAGGGACTGATTCTAACCTGCATTGTTTATATGGAGGCTTAAAGTTGCCAAGTAGTCGAATTAGGTATTTTCAATTTTTATGATGATTTTCTCTATTTGACTTCAATACTTAAGGAAAGTTTAACTAGTGATAAAGAGGTTTATTGAGGTAAAATCACAGCTAAGCACTTATCTGTTATGTTCATGTTCAGGTGTGTTAGAGATGATGATCTAAGGGTAGGTTTGTGACACTAAACATAAAAAAAACAAAAACGCATTACATTGTGAAGAACCCAGGGCACTGTATCTAAGGGTAGTTGATACAAAGAAAGTGTTATATATATATATATATATATATATATATATATATATATACACTCACCGGCCACTTTATTAGGTACACCATGCTAGTAACGGGTTGGACCCCCTTTTGCCTTCAGAACTGCCTCAATTCTTCGTGGCATAGATTCAACAAGGTGCTGGAAGCATTCCTCAGAGAGCTTGGTCCATATTGACATGATGGCATCACACAGTTGCCGCAGATTTGTCAGCTGCACATCCATGATGCGACTCTCCCGTTCCACCACATCCCAAAGATGCTCTATTGGATTGAGATCTGGTGACTGTGGAGGCCATTTGAGTACAGTGAACTCATTGTCATGTTCAAGAAACCAGTCTGAGATGATTCCAGCTTTATGACATGGCGCATTATCCTGCTGAAAGTAGCCATCAGAAGTTGGGTACATTGTGGTCATAAAGGGATGGACATGGTCAGCAACAATACTCAGGTAGGCTGTGGCGTTGCAACGATGCTCAATTGGTACTAAGGGGCCCAAAGAGTGCCAAGAAAATATTCCCCACACCATGACACCACCACCACCAGCCTGAACCGTTGATACAAGGCAGGATGGATCCATGCTTTCATGTTGTTGACGCCAAATTCTGACCCTACCATCCGAATGTTGCAGCAGAAATCGAGACTCATCAGACCAGGCAACGTTTTTCCAATCTTCTATTGTCCAATTTCGATGAGCTTGTGCAAATTGTAGCCTCAGTTTCCTGTTCTTAGCTGAAAGGAGTGGCACCCGGCGTGGTCTTCTGCTGCTGTAGCCCATCTGCCTCAAAGTTCGACGTACTGTGCGTTCAGAGATGCTCTTCTGCCTACCTTGGTTGTAACGGGTGGTTATTTGAGTCACTGTTGCCTTTCTATCAGCTCGAACCAGTCTGGCCATTCTCCTCTGACCTCTGGCATCAACAAGGCATTTCCGCCCACAGAACTGCCGCTCACTGGATATTTTTTCTTTTTCGGACCATTCTCTGTAAACCCTAGAGATGGTTGTGCGTGAAAATCCCAGTCGATCAGCAGTTTCTGAAATACTCAGACCAGCCCTTCTGGCACCAACAACCATGCCACGTTCAAAGTCACTCAAATCACCTTTCTTCCCCATACTGATGCTCGGTTTGAACTGCAGGAGATTGTCTTGACCATGTCTACATGCCTAAATGCACTAAGTTGCCGCCATGTGATTGGCTGATTAGAAATTAAGTGTTAACGAGCAGTTGGACAGGTGTACCTAATAAAGTGGCCGGTGAGTGTATATATGTATATATATATGTGTGTGTGTGTATATGTGTATGTTATAAAGGCGTTTGGCAGGGCACAGATGAGTGAGGTTCTTGTAATTGGTCCAAATCAAAAAAGGGATCTCAGCTCTTTTGAGCCAGTGCCTCCACTTCTGAAGTGCCAAGATCACTTCCATCAGCTGATGAGTCACTTGTAGAAAAGGGCACAAGAATGTAATTTATGAGTCTCTGGGTTCCAGCTAGAGTGACAGCACAGCACTCACTCCTGAGGCATCAATCTCGATGGACGGACCACGGTTCCTCAGTGCTGGCATAAATTGTTAAACTGAGGTTCTGGTGGGCTTGGTTAGGGGAGCAGCTATGTTGCTGTAGTCATGGAGATATCTCCTGTAAAAGTCTGCAAATCCTAAAAAGCTTTGGTATTTCCTGCCTGCACCATGACGTTGGACATTCAAACAACAGCTTGAATTTTTTAAAAGGATCTGGTTTTTGCTGCCCTCGACTGATGATGTAATGATGACCACATTTCTCTGGTTTTATAAAGAGTTTATTTTTAAGTAGCTTCTGGAGCAGCGCAGATGTGTGTGCTTTTCAAAATACCAGGAAAAGATTAAGATGTTATTGAGGTGTATGAAGAAGAATCTGTTCAGCATGTCCATAACACATCATCTATCAGGGCCTGGAAGAACCAAAAATGTAGCCAGCTTATCAAAGAGGCCAACCAGAGTATTGAATACCATCTTCCAAATGAGAAAGTAGGCACTGTGCAAATCTGTCCATCCATCCTTCCATCCATCCATTCTACCTCTTATCTCGTTGGGGGTTCACAGGGATGTGAAGTTTTCCTCCCACAGCCCACCTGGAGTAAACCCATGCAGACACAGGGAGAATATGCAAACTCCATACAGACACACCCTGACCCGGATTTGAACCCAGACCCTTCTTGCTGTTAAGCAACAGTGCTAACCACTACATTATTGTGCAAATCCAGCTTAATGACTACCTGGGCATGGCACAGGGGCTTGGAGGAGGGATTGATGAGGGGTGAGTGTTATGACTGTGGTCATTTATGTATTTTGATTGCTTAACTTATTGACTGACAGCTCTGTCTCTCCTTCCCTCCTCTGCAGTGGAAATCGGCGTCTGTGTGTGAGGGATGAGCTGCAGGTGTGTGGGTGCTGCTGATGGTTCCTGTGATTTCATTGCTGCAGGCTGATTGCCACGTCCAACCACCAGTTTGTGTGATGTTTTTGCCTAGTCTAGTGAATCTAAAGACAGTCTAATTTGTGAATAATTGTGAATATTTTTACTTTTGTATTTAGTGGCAGTTGTAGGAGGGAGAAGCCATTTTGTTTTATGTCTCGTTTTCTCAGTTTTTGTTAGGAGTTAGGTTACCTGTTGTCTTATGTTTTACATCTGTTTTACTATAGGTAAGTTAGGGTCCTTGGTTTAGCTGTTTTTGTTTCTTGTGTTGGCATTGTTACCCTCCGAAGCCAATAAAAACTACCTTTCTGCGAACTTTAAACTCATCGTTGGCTGGTTTTCTTAGGAGTGGGAAGAGCGGGCACTCAGTCATGTGAGGCCCTGATTCCCCTAAGCCAGGGCCATAACATGAGAAGTTATGAGAAGAAGAAATTACACAAAAGGATCTCAATGAGTTTTATGACGTGTCAAAGGTTGATCCTGATCCAGACAAAATTCCGAATACTGTGAGCTGCTTGGCAGAGGTCTGCGCTCTCCGAGTGCTTTTCTAGTTATTGTTGTCTTCATCAACCTTTCTCTTTCAGCATCTCCCTCTATCCCCTCTGTGAGAAGTTTTGTCTCTGTCATGTCAGATTTGAAAATGTTACATGAGGCTAATAACTGAAATGCTTTTCTGAACCAACTGTAGAAAAATGCATATATTATGGGGTTCACCATAGAATTTAAAAAGCCTACCCATACCAGTGTTTCATACAGTACAACTGGTATATCGATGCTAATGTAGGGGTCAATAAAGAGGCAGAGAAAAACAGGTGTCCAAAAAAATAGAAAAGTTCCCACCACAACAGCCAGTGTTTTTGTGGCCTTAGCCTGGCTAGTATGTGACGACTTCACTGAGCCTGCATTCTGTATGCTGTGAAACTGTCTGTGTGCGACAAGGAACCCCCCCCCAGCAGCAATCGACTGGTGTGCGTGTGTGTGTGTGTGTGTGGGGGGGGGGATTTGCGATCGGACCGGCCGAGATCGTCGAACGCGGGGCCCCGGCAGCTCCTCTCCTCCGTTAAAGGTGGGGTTGCTGGGTCACCACCCGTTTTTGTGTTAGTTTAATATTCCTAATCATTTAACGGAACATAATAAGAGAGTAAAATTCATTTTTGAGTGTGAAAAGAGCATTTTTTTAAGGGATCAAACTGCCACTTAATACTTACTTGACAATGTAAAACATGATCAAAATGAAAAAAATGCCAATGTCTCACCTGAAACTCTGGGTTTACTGAGTTAAACCTGCTCCCGAGCAGGTTAAGTTCACGGAGTCTGTTACTACGGTAACTGACCGCGAGGTTGAGTTACCTCTCTTTGTGAAACGGGTTAGAGTTACCCCTCTCTCCTTGGTTTAACTGACCCTGCTTTGTGAAACGGAAAACTCAGAGTTTCCCTGATTTCAGTGTTAACAAACTCGGAGTTTCCATTAAACCTGCTACATGAAACGGACCCCAGGTGTATCCAATTGAGCGGAAAATTGCGCAAATTATACCTCCTTTTCTTGAGCCTCAACCTCTACCAAATCAAATGCGAGCAAAGGGGTTAAAATTATGTGCTGGCTCAATCTGCTGATGCACTATCGTTAAGTAATATTAATAGCCCTGGTGATTGAGTGACTGCAAATAAAAAAAGATTCCAATATGTTGTTTTGGTGCCACAAACACACAGTCAAAAAACATGTTTGTAATGGAAGTCTATTGTCTTTGTACTTTGCAGACAAAGTAGGGTAGATGGAGCTAAAATGAAGAAAATTAGATCTCTTTGTCATCAAAACAGACATAGTAGGAATCAAAGGGGATATACATACATACATATATATATATATATATATATATATATATATATATATATATATATATATATATATTTTTTTTTCTGATCAGAATTACAAAATTATACAAAACCTTGAGCCTCATCAATGTTGTATTCAAATTTTATTTATTTCCTTTGATTTATGAGCAGCTTCTCTGATCATTGTATGTGTTCTGCCTGACTTTCACTAAATTCAGGTTGCAAATGTTGAGAAAGCGCTCGTGTTTCTGGTGAAGTGAATTTTAAATAATTCACATAACTCTGGTGAAGATTTTAAAGACTTGCGCAAAATTAGTTAAGTTAAATGGAACTTTTACTACCTTGTATTTTAAACACTTTGCTCACAGTGAATAGCCCTATGAAACGAAACATTTTTGTCATTTTAATCTGTGAGAAGTTTTGTCTCTGTCATGTCAGATTTAAAGATGTTACCTGAGGCTAATAACTGAAATGCCTTTCTGAACCAACTGTAGAAAAATGCATATATTATGGGGTTTACCATAGAGTTCAAAAAGCCTACCCATGCCAGTGTTTTATAAAGTTCTTTTGGTATTTTGGAGCTAATGTAGGGGTCAATAAAAACACAGAGAAAAAAAGGAGCCCAAAAACAAAGAAAAGTTCCCACAACAATAGCCAGTGTCTTTGTAGCTTTAGTCTGGTTAGTATTTGACGTCTTTACGGAGCCTGCATTCTGTATGCTGTGAAACTGTCTGTGTGCAACAAGGAAAATCTTCAAATAAATGCCCAGCAGTATTATTCCTGGCATGTAAAAGGAGAGAAGAGATGAAAGTGTTGACACCAGTTTTTCCTGAATCAAAACACAGCCTCCTTCACATGCAACATTATTATGATTAAACCCTATCAGCAAAATCATTCCAAAGCCGACTAGAACTGAGATACTCCAGCAGACGATGATCATACCCAGCGCTACGTTACCAGATATTTTTCTCCTGTAAAGCAGAGGTTGACAGACAGCATAGTATCTGTCCACTGAAATGAATGACAGATTTAGTATTGATGACGTCACTAGTGTGGCATTTGAGCTTAAAGACACTATACAGAGAAATTCACCAAAATACCAACATGACTCAACAACCATGATCATTTGAGGAAACATGACTAACACCCCTAAAAGCAGGTCAGACATAGCCAGAGACACAATCAGGTAGTTAGTTGGAGTGTGAAGCTGCTTGAAATAAACAACAGAGAAAGTGACCAAAAGGTTTCCACACACTGTTAGAATGATTACAATCCCAAAAATGATATAGAGGGTGACTCGAACTGGCATGGGGTGATTATTTCTCTGTGGGCAAGACCCGTTTCTGGATTCAAAGCACAACACTTGATCCATCTGTGGAAACAAGAATTACAACCTGTGGACTCAACTGCAGAAACAAAAGATATAAAGGCCATACATTTTTTAATATTAGTTAATTTTTGTACTAGTGTCAAAAATATCAATTTAAAAAATACTCATCAAGAGGGCAACAGGTACAGAGAGGACATAATACAATTCTTAAATGCTCCATTGTCTTATGTTCTTTGCTGCTAGTTTCTACCTCACTTAAAATTTAAATGATTGTAATAGGTGGAGTTTTCCTCTCTCCTTTGCTGGAGCTCTTTAATATTCCTATTGAATATTAAAGAATGGAAACTATTGTTTCCATTCAGTTTTTTTAACACGCATTTAATAAATCATGATTTGTGACTGCATTGACAGATGGATAAATCTCGGCATAAATATTGACAGAATGACACCATAGTAAAATATTTTCAAATTTCAGTTTAAGAGGTTCTTGTTGGTACTCTTTATGTTTCCCTGAACCTCAGACCTGCTCGATAAACAGTCAAGTATATTAATGCCTTTACTCATGAATATAAGCATAAAACCAACTGCTAACTTATAAAAAACAAAACAGTTAGAAATTATTTCAGCTATTCTCAGCAAGAAACACTGTACACTGTACAGAAACACAAAACACTGCAACAAAGCATACATATTTCCAAATATACCCCACTCTTACCCTCCGTAGTCAGTTGGATAGTACTGCAGCCAGAGCAGAGTATGCCACATATAAGGGCAAATCAGCTCTCTGTCTCTCTCTGGCCAGCTAAGTCAAGGGTTAAATAAAAAACCTTCAGGGAGTGAGGCTGAAAAATCTACCCCTGCAGATATCACCATGGCAAGTGGTAAAAAAAAGTGCATTGCTGTCCTGTAGTAAGAACGCAGACAACCAGGGGTTACTGTAGGTTAACTTTGAAAGTTCATTAAGTTCCATAAATGACAGACAACTAAAACTTGCAGTTGTTGCTGCCTCAAAGGTTTACTGTTTGTTCATATATATATATATATATATATATATATATATATATATGTATAATATATATACGTATTTAGACCTCATACACTCACCAGACCTGTTTAAAGTGTGATAAAAAACTATACTTGCTGCCTGTATATTTATCACTATTAATATCCAAAACTACCATGTTGATCCTCTGTGGGAGGAGGAGCAAGTCCTTAATTCTTTTCTCTTCCCAGTGAGTGCTGTGAAGTGTGGGTAGATAGCCCCGCAAGTTAGCATATCCTCGCAGTGTGTTAGCCGCCGAGCTAAAGTGTTAGCTCATGGTGTTAACTTTTTGTGACAAGAGAGAAAAGCGCGCGCGTGTGTATGTGTAAAAAGAATTTGTGCCTGTTAATTACATAGTTGGAATGGAAAGGGACATCAGTAAGTGTCATGGGTTATGAGACTGTTGCTTTCACCTTCCAGGCTACCAGGCCCTCTCTGCTTCCAGGCTTCTAGCTCCTCTTTGAGCCCTTGTTATTAGGGCCCGAGCGTAGCTGCTAAGCAGCTGCGAGAGCCCTATTATTCCTGATGGATTCTTCTTTAGGGCCCGAGCGTAGCTGCTAAGCAGCTGCGAGAGCCCTCTTGTTCCTGCATGTGTCCTTCTTTCGTTATTATTTTTCCTCCGCTTTAAACTGGAAAATGGCCCACTTCCCACTGGCGAAAACTCAGGAAATTTGGCAGGACGTCTGGGCCTGGTGAAAAATTCGATATTCTGAAGTCGCCCAAACAATAAAATGCAAAATGGCTCCATAGCGCCCCCTAAGGTGAAAATTCACATGACGGCTGTACGCTTTGTCATATTGACACAGAAATTGACACACACATGTATCTCAATAAGATCTACAAAAAAGTCAGTGCGGGCGTATCTGTCAAATGTACGGTTAATGGGTTATTTTGCATTTTTTGCAGATCTGCTTACATTGGAATTTCGTTAACTCCTCCGAAGGCTTTCGTTCGACCGGCACCACATTTGCGCAGGCCAATCTACCCCCCATGGCCATTAAAAGTTGTACAAATCATGACGCTGCACCCCACGGTTTACGTTCTAGGTGGCGCCAAAGATAACCCAAAAATCAACATTCTTAAAAGTCTTATAACTTTTTACTTTTGTCCTCACTGG